GCTATTCAGAATGCTGTTAATCATGGAGGGAAAAAAATTGTCTTTACCACCTAGAATGATTTATCTGTTTGTACGAATGTGAGAAAAATGATCACATCTTCAAGTAATAGATTGCAAGTACAAAGAAAGTTCACATTACAGCTATGCTGATGAAAATTACCTGCAGGCTGTTATCACAGAGTCAGTGAATTAATTAACCTTTTGCCATAAAAATCAAGTAACTTTAGCAAAGTCTGAAATTTCTGTTTCGCTTGTTCCAGCTCCCTCAGTATTTTAGAAAATGAAATATTGTGCCGTTACAGAGGTAAACAAAATATACTGTGATTTCATCAGTTCTGATGTTAGTACAATAAAACCGCATAAAGTGTGGTTAAAATTTAGCAAATTAAAAGATTCGCCTTTTGTTTTAGCTAATGAAAGATGAGTAACAGTGGTTGACTTCTATGTAACTTTTTATTTTTATAAATGAGATTAGTAATTTCTTACTGTGAATGTTGGCTACCTCTTAATTATCTGCTTTTTGATTCTGTGAGAAAATAAAGTTAAATAAACATGTCTTTTAACATTGTAGATTGAAAATTAGTACAAACATGTATTCTTGTAAATTTTACTTTCAAATGAGCAAACACATAGTCTATGTGTAAATGTATTAATCAAGTATTTTAATTGTTTTCACTTGGGATCTGAAGCTTAAAAATCAACTAACATCATGGGCTGGCCCCATGGCCTAGTTATTAAGCGAGTCAGAACCCACATGGCCAACTCTGTGGTTCAAGTCCAGTACATAGTGGCGTGAAAACATATGCCCAAGTCCCATTAAGAAGGAGAAATGAAGAAGAATGAAGAAGAAGGAATTGCAACATGACTATATCACATTGAGGGTTGTTTTCTCTCTCTCTCTCATCTATCTTTCTCCTTCTGGTGAGTGCACAGACCCTCTAGTAAATGAATATGTATTTTAAAAAATCAGCTCGGGGCCAGTAGGTGCTGTGGTGGTTAAGGCACTTGACTCCCACATAGCCAACTACAGTTCAAGTCCAGGACTGTGAAGTTTGAAAATCATGTGAGGTACATGCGTGTGGATGCCTAACATTTCAAGAGGAGGATGGAGAAGAGACTGTGGTGAGACCATCCTTCCTGTGGTGTGATCTCTCACTTTTCCTCTCTCTGTCCCACTCTTACTCTCTCTAGTGAGTGCATGGACTCTATGGATGGATGGATGGATGGATAGATGATAGATAGATAGATAGATAGATAGATAGATAGATAGATAGATAAATAAATCAGCTAACACTAAATGAAACCAAGAAGGATTTGGAAAAACAGAAATTTTAACATATGATGGTAATATGAGCCATCCAGGTTTTGTTTGTTTTTAAGAGAGATTTTTGCTATAGAGTGTGTGTACTTGCCAGAGAGAAAGAAAGACAGAGAGACAGAAAACAAGAAATCACCCACTATGGGGATGGCCACTCTGCAATCCCTTCTCCTTCATTTTCTCTTGGGATTTTAGGCATGCACGTACATGTGCCTGGAGTGAGTTTTAAGTTGCTGGGTCCAGGCCTTGGAATTCAGTCAAATACGTGGGAGTTCAATAACATAACCATTATGCCATCTGCTAGTCCATTGCTCATGTTAAAGGAAAGGATCATTTAGAGTTGGTGAGGACCAAGTGGTGGCTTAGTGGTAATACAGCTGGGCACATGGAAAGTGTCCTGAGTTTAGGTCGTGTAACCTCCCTGAGAACAATGAGAATATGCACATTCCCTGTGATCCTGGGCACCTGAGAATGGGGATGGACTGTGGCATGAGGACCTGTTAGGTGCCTCTTTCTCTCTCTCATGGAGAACAAGCTTAAAAAAATAAGTTTCAGTAAATGTGAAGTTCATGAAGATTTAAGAGTAAAATTATATTTTAAATTTTAACATATTTACATGTCTTCATGCAAATACTAGAAACCAAATTTTATTTTTCTCTATTTAAGATGTTAATAGCCTCTAATATTTAATTGTTCAAAAACAAGTAATTAGAGCTATTTTCCATTAGCTAATTTTTAGACTGTAATTCGAATTCAGTCATTATAAAATTGAGTAGTTGACAATGGATAAGTCATCCCCTCAGCAGGTTACCAGATACTCTTGTTTAGAAAATAGGTTATATGTATACTGTTTTAAAATGTTGGTGTATATGTTTATTGTTCCAACAGAATGAGGAATATTTTCCAAATTATTTTTTAGGGAAAAAAAAATGTTGGTTGCAGTAAAAGCTCTCCAAGAATGTGATGAAGTGGAAAGTATTAATAGTTGCTTTTGTGTTAATAAAGTGGGCAATGCTTAGGTAGAAAACTGAAGGTGCCTATGAGGTTCCTTTTTCTGAATTAAGGGTAGGCATATATTTCATGAGTGAAAATTTCAAATCAAATAGTTATTTAAACTAATTTAGACCAAATAATAAACCTTTCATAATTGCTAACATAGTAAAATTTTTCACACACATCTTTCTAACATCTCTATAAAGTTGCTAGCTCTATAAGTGGATAAACTTAGAATGTATATCAAAATAATTTTGGTTATTTCAGTTTTGAGAATACTTCTATTATAAAGCATGTAATTTTAAGTAAATGTACATTTACTTAAAACGTCAAGGCTAGTACATTTTGTCACATAGAAAATTCACATTAAGTACATTTTGAATATAAGGATGCAAAAAGCTTCAAAATATTGGCTTTCTACCAATACTTAAGTTTGTTTAGGCTAATTTAAACCAGATTGATTTCCATTGATTCTTATATGATCATGCAATCAGTAATAATGTAAACATATATATGAATAATAAATATATTTCTTCAAAAGAATTAAAAATGAGAATGCAAATTTCTAACATTCCATGATTATGTCAGGAATACACAGGCTATCCTTTGGCAGATATGACCTACATACCTGACAGGTAATGTTCTGTCTCCTTTTCTCCTGTCCATTTCTCTTTGAGGGACAGGATACCAGCGGAAATTCAGTTTCCAGTTAAAACCCCCATAAGTCATATCTGACCCAGCCATATATTCAAAGGTATCATCACTAATCACATCGATGATGGGGCATACAACTGTTTTCCTGCAGAAAAATTCAAACCAGTTTATGTATAAATGATCATTTAAATGTTACATTTGCTTCTTCAAACTAATTATAGCTATACAATGAAATTTCATTATTTTGTGACTTTAACATGACTTTGTTTCCATTTTATCCTTGTTCTCAATGCAATTATTTCCTTTAACTCTATCTTCTTACACTCGACTTTATGCTATTAAATGAAATCTAATCAAACATACTAATTGACCTTCACGTTGATTTCCAAATGTATTGTAAGTACTAACTCAGCAGGATGAGCCTGGTCTATTTTTCAAAAAACCTCCACCCACAGCATGATTAGCAGAACTGCTTTGAGAATGCATTGTTTTAGCTCTAACACACTAAAAAACAACAGTAAATAGGGAGAGGAGAATGGAGGATGGCTTACTAAATCTGGTAGTTTGTATTTCAAATAAGATAGGTTAGATAGATTAAATAGCTAGTCCTAAAACACACTTCATGGAGAAAATTCCTACTATGAAAGCCTAACAAGTAAAAATCAGCAAACACTATCACTAATAAATATCATCAACTATCAGTATAAATATATGTTTCCTATGAATTATAATAGGGTCATGATATATCTCTGAGTGAATCATTCTTGAATTAAGAATTTAGAGTCATGGGATGAGCAGGTGGTTTAGTGGTTAAGGCACTGGACTCCAACATGGTTGATGATGGCTCAAGTCCTGGACTCAAAGGCTTGAAACTCATGCAGGGTGCAGGTGCATGCATGCCCAAAATCCCAAGAGAAGAATGGAGCAGAAGGGATTGCAGCATGTTTACGCCCCCAGGAGGTGATTTCTCACTTTCTGTCTGTCTTTCTCTGTCCCTCTGGTGAGTCCATGTGCCTTATAGCAAAAACCTCAAAAAAAAAAAATTAGAATCACAATCTCATGATTATTTAAGTTAGAACTAGGTAAGTAACTGTAGTCTTTGATGTTTTGATGTTTCACATCTCTTTTCTTTTCTTTTCTTCTTCTTCTTCTTCTTTTTTTTTTTTTTAAGTGGTTTTCACCCTAGGGTGTGTGTACTTGCTGGAGAGAGAGCAAAACAGAGATAGCGAGAGTGAAAATGAGAAATCACTCCCCCCAAGGGGGGATGGCCACGCCGCAATTCCTTCTCCTCCATTCTCCTCTAGGTATCTTCAGCATGCACGCACATGCACCAGGGTGAGTTTAAGTCCCTGGGTCTGGGACTCAAACCGCGGTCGACTACGTGGGAGTCCAGCAACATAACTGCTATACCAACAGCTGGTCTCCATATCACTTTTCTTAAAGAAAGATGAAGGGTACCAGCAGTTAGTGTAATGGCTATGTTGCTGGACTCCCATGTAGTCGACCATGGTTTGAGTCCCAGACCCAGGGACTTAAACTCACCCTGGTGCATGTGCGTGCATGCTGAAGATACCTAGAGGAGAATGGAGGAGAAGGGATTACAGTGTGGCCATCCCCCCTGGGAGGTGATTTCTCGCTTTCTGTCTCTCTGTCTCTTTCTGTCTTTCTGGCAAGCGTATGCTCCCTGCCTCTACAAAAAAAGAAAAAGAAAGATGAAGAGCCAGCATGATTGGTGTTCTTGATGGTAGTTTTTTAGGGTAAGAAAGTGTCACTAGGGAGATCATTAGGTACTCTTTGTGTCTTTTTCTGTTCCTCCCTTACTCTCCATTCCTGTGATGATATTTTGTCACCTCCATAGGTAAATGCTCAGGTCTGCACAAGACTGCTGATTGTAGATAGTTCTGAAGGCCAGAGTTTGTTTTTAATATTTGGTAAGTAAATATTACAATCGCCTTCTGAATCACTCATGGATGTGGAAAGCAAAGAAATGTCTGTTATTTATTCTTTTCTTTTCTTTTTAATGACAGTGAGTTCAAGTGCATATAAAAGAGAGAGAAACTACTCTTTTTATTTATTTATTTTTTTGAGGTTTTTGCTATAGGGCATGTGCACTTGCCAGAAAGACAAAGAGACACAGAGAGACAGAAAGCGAGAAATCACCCCCCAGGGGGGATGGCCACACCGCAATCCCTTCTCCTCCATTCTCCTCTCGGGATCTTGGGCACGCACACATGTGCCCAGTGTGAATTTAAGCCACCAGGTCCGGGACTCAAACCGTGGTCGACTACATACCCATTACAGTAACTGCTGGTCTCAAGAGAGAGAGAAACTATTCTTAATGAAGCCTGGTCACACCGCAGTCCTCTATTTTTCAATTCTCCGTCCTATCAGGATCCTATGCACCTACATACCCTGCGTATTTTTCAAGTTGTAGGAGTGGTACTTGAACCATGATCACCCATGTAAGATCCAGCTCCCTCTGTACAGCAATTAACTGCTCTGAAACAGGACAGGTCTCGTTATTTTATTCTTTTTCATTTTGCAATGCCATTACCACCAACACTCATTTTCAAGAGGGTCTGAAATTTCACGCACTTGGCGAAGGCCTAAATTACTCCAAAATTGATAGGATTCACCTAGCTTTGGAAAACTTCTGGATGACTCCAGATCCCAAAAAGATCAATATACTTCCAATATTCTTTTCTATTTCTTTGTTAAATTTCATGGTATAATTTGTGAGAGCGGAACTTAGATATAATAACCCTGAATATATTGTAGGTCATACCCTTGACTACATTACCTAGTTAGAGTAACTTCAGAATTTATGGATATTAGCAAGAAAAGAGATTAGCATCATCATAAGCAAATACAGTATCAATAAGTTGTTAGAACAAAAGGAAAATGGGCTATGCATGGCCATCTCGAAATACCATATTAAAAAATCACTATATTGAATATGAAACACAACTTTATAAAACAGCCTAATATATAAAAATTGCCAGAAATACATTTAAGATGTTCTAAGTTCATTTCCCTTTGCCAGGCTTACTCTCCTGTGGATACTGTACAATAAGTAGAGTGGAAAAATGTTATCAGCTGCGTCTACCCTCCGTTAACTCAAAGGTTCCCACTGCTTGCTTCAACCGTGGTGGTTCATTTTACTGACAGCTTCCATTCATCTTTCTGGCAAGTACCAAATCCTGCCGCTAACGTGATGTGGCTGGGGGAGGCTGGACTAGTTCAGCCTAAGCAGCCCCTGTCTTGAATGTCTAATTAAAAACTTCAATTCTAGAAATACGTTTTTACTGTACATAAAAATGACTATGCAAGTGAGTTGCTATACACTATTTTGTTATTCTCTCAGATAGCATTCGATGGTATCTTCATTAGGTGCTTGGAAATGATATTCGTTTGTCACCAGTCTTTATAATTAGCCAAAAAAAGAAAAAGAAAAAAACTTGTATTTCATGGCAGCAGCATCAGAAAGAATTATAGGTATATTCGAGGGCCCTTTATTTCTATCAAGTGTTTTTAAGGACTTCCAGATTTCACAAATTGTATGTATCAAGTGGCAAGATCATTTAAATAATTAAACTTATACATACAACTGTGCTCTCTATGTCTTTTTTTTTTTTTTTTTTGAGGGGTTTTAGCTATAGGGCACATCTGAGTGCCAGAAAGACAGAAAGCAAGAAATAACCCCCAGGGGGGATGGCTACGCTGCAATCCCTTCTCCTCCATTCTCCTCTCAGGATCTTGGGCACGCATGCACACACACCCACCATGAGTTTAAGCCACCGGGTCTGGGACTCGAACGACAGTTGACTACATGAGAGTCTAGTGACATAGCCAGTACACCAACTGCTGGTCCCTCTATGTCTATTTCTATAAACACGATTTTATTTTGTGGTATGTGTGAGTATTTATTTCTAAGATCCTTAAGGTGAATTTTAATCAGACTCTAAGGGCAGTGATGTACAGAGAACTAAGGTGGAGGACTGGGAAGAACTGAAATGTTCTGGCACTTCAGACAACCGAGACAAGCAATGAACTCCTTTGTTCCCTCCTAATGCTAGGTAGAAATAAGAACACCGACATTACCTATGTTCACAGGGTGGTCATGAGGACAGAACAAAAGTGCTTTGAAAACGTGCTCAGTGCTATGCCGTGGGGTTGGTCCTCACTGGACAACCAGGGTTTTAGTCAGGGCCAGTCAAAACAGGCCAGTTGCCCATGTGTGCCCCGGATCCTGGCAGAAATAAGAATCAGAGGAAAAAGGAGCACCGTGTGACTGGGCCCTGTTGGGGTTGCTTTCTCTCTCTCTCGTGTTTGCCTACGAATCCTCTGCCATTTAAATGAGGATCAGAAAATATGGTTTAGAGCATTATATATTTACAGATTGGATTTCCTTCCTTCGCCTATGAGTATTCAACATGTTTTTATTGTTTGAATTGTTTGGCTATTTCTTATTCAAATATCCATATTCAGCAAGAATAAGATAGTCTCACCATTAAATGAAGGAGAAAACTGTTAAAAAAAAAAACCAAAAAAACAGAAACAACATCAAGTAAGCCTTCTGAAAGAAGCTTGGAAGAGGAATTCTGGTAACAGCCAGACTCTCCTACCAGGCTCCGTCACACCCACACAGACATAACACATAAATTCGTACCTGTCTTCCTTTATTCTGGCCAGCAAGGGCTCCAGCCATCCTAGGGTGCACTCGCAGTGAGCATCGAGAAAAGTTATGACCTGCCCTTTTGAAGCAGCTGCTCCTCGAAGACGGGCACGTATTAGCCCAGAGCGCTCTTCCATCCTAATAATTTTTACTGGCACTTCTAAGTTTTTCACGTAGTTCTCTAATGTCAGCTTGAGAAAATCTGTAACATTCAATAAGAATTTATAAGAATAATTTGAAACTGTTTTAACACAGAACAGAAATACTGCCAAGACAGAAATTCAATACATAGAAATGGTAGCCAATGCCTATCAGAATTATTTCAGTAGATAATAGAGATCACATCAAATAATGTCATATATACATAAAGTCATATAAATACTCCACAACATGATCAAATGAGTTGGAAAAAAGGAAACAGTTTTGAAAGCTATTTTGACTGATTTCTTAGGTGAGTAAGAGCCAAAGAGAATCATGAGAAAGTGGTGATATCTTTCCTTTTTTTTTTTTTTTTTTTTTGAAGAGGTTTTAGCTATAGGGCGCATGCCAGAAAGACAGAGACAGAAAGCGAGAAATCACCCCCCAGGGAGAATGGCCACGCCACAATCCCTTCTCCATTCTCCTCTCGGGATCTTGGGCACGCACACACATGCGTCCGGCCTGAGTCTAAGCCACTGGGTCCATGACTCAAAACGCAGTCGACTACATGGGAGTCCAGCAACATAGCCATTATGCCAACTGCTTGTCCCAAAAGTGGTGATATCTTTGACTGGACTAATACACAGTATATTCATTCCTAATAAGCCCATTTTGTATGCTGTAAAGATGTACAGTAATTAAAGGTATAAAAATAAGAAAAATAGTTACTTTTTCCCAGATTTGTCAATGACCAGGTATAGACCTGTGTTGTTTAATGGCAGCTATACTTGTGAAAAATGCATCAGTAGGGGATTTCCTCAATGTGTTAACATCATAGAATATCCTTACCCAAACACTGAAGATACACCTGTTATGATCTTATGAAACCATTTATATGCAGTCTCTCTTTGAAGGGAGCACGAGTATATATGGGTGAAATTGAATAGGTGGTTGGAAGACTAGTAAAATAATAAACATCACTGCCTTGCTATCTTTTGACCACAATAACACTTTCTCATTAAAAAAATAAAGAACAAAAAACTATACCTCTTTCACTGGCATCATCTACCAAAATGACCTCAGAAAGCAGATAGTGTGGAGAACGATTTATAACACTGTAAACAGTTCTAAGAAGAGTGCTCCAGGCTTCGTTATGGAACACAATGACTACGCTTGTGTTTGGGAGTTCATCAGGGTAGACTTTTGTCTTGCATCTAGAAAACAATCAAGAAGAGGGATGTTGATTTATTAAATTTTATCCTGCTCAAAAACAGTAAGACATATTCATAATGTGTTATTACTTCAGACTTGAAAGTCCCTTATTACAGAAACATTTTATGAATATCTAAAGTCACCTTTTTTCTTTTTATAACTGCTGTGAGTAATCACCAGGCATTTTGTAAGTTAAATATCCATAATTACTAATATTTTATTTTAACTTCTACAAGGAACAAAGCAGCATGATTTCCACAAGTCTAAGAAAAACCTAAGAAAGCTAAAATAACATTCAGAAATGACCCATTAAAGGCCAGGTCCAACAGGCACACATGAGAATTCATTTAGTGGATATAATTTTATTCTTCGTTTAGAAAAGAAGAAAAGAATTATTGTATAACTCGGAAAGTAATAAGAACACAAATAGACATATACCCACAGGATTTTGAAGCATGTGAAAGTGAGGTTATTTTACTGTCCCAAAATAGTACCCTGTATACTTTGTATTCCATTTGAGGACACTTTAAACATGTCTATTTTCAAAGAAAGGTTTAGGGTCCAGGGTGAATTCTGATCTGTAAAATTTCTAGTCTTCCTGATCATCAGGAAAAGGAATAGGCTACCAGAACTTAACAAACTTTAATGTGCATAGGCACCACCTGGGAATTGGGTGTAGCCTGAAAATCTGCATTTCTAAGCAACTCCCAGGTTATTTAGATTCCCAGGTCCTAAAGCACACTGATTTGTAGGGCTCTCCTGTAATTGTCATTGCTTTTCAATCCAAGGAGATTCAAGTTTTACACGTCAAGCAATTAATCCAAAAATAGTGCTTGGATAAGTAATATGTGTTGGTAGGTGGTCACTCCAAAATTAACACACAGATAATGGTGGATCTGTCAACCTGGCCAAATTCAGATATTTCTGTCATTTAATTTTAAGTTGTTATGATTACAGAGTATAAGAAATGTCATTGGGTATCTGGATCAGAAAGAAAAGTTTATTGGGGACCAGCAGGTGGCATGGTGATCAAGGCATTGGACACTCCTACATGGCTGACAACGGTTTAAGTCTTGGACATGGTGGCTTGCTTTCTCCCTTTCCCTCTCCCTGTCTCTCTCTGGTCAAATTAAAATAAATCAGTAAAAGTAAAGAAATAATTATTTAAAAAAAAAGAAATAAAAGTTTATTCACCTTAGATCTGCGTGTGTGTTAAATATTCTAGAAAGCTAGTGAATTAAAACAATTCTGCAAATAAAATGAGTCAGTTATTTCATGTCACTTTAAATAATTTAATATACGACACAATACCACTTTGTTAAAATTAGTTTTCTCTATAAATGCATAAAAAGAATCCAACAAAACGTGGGATATAGAGATACATAATAAATCAAATATTGATTGTATACTGTTGATCTCTTAATCACCTTTTGAAAGAGTCTAAATTATCACCTACTCAGTGAAATCTTCTCCATTACAGGCAGGTGATAAAGTACCTAGACATCAATTATAACAATTTTTAGCATATTATAGTTAAAAACATTCATTATGTATCCACAATACAAAAAATTCTGTGCACATCAGAAAAATCAATATGTAGGGAGTAGGAAAAGTAGCGAGTTATAGTCATCACTTCCGGTTTTGGTGATAGAATCCCAGTGATTTCTATGTGCTTTATCATCATTTGATATGTTCTACCAGACAGCTCATCACTAATTAAACTTAGAATGTGATCTTAATAAGCAAGAAGGGCTCTTTTCATCACTTTCCTTAAACTTCCATTTTTCTCCCTCATCAAAAAAACCATCATTTTCACTATGCTAAACAAAAAGTATGATAAAGATAGCGGTCATCACCAAAGATGTAAAGCTGTATAAATAAGCTAAATGTCCCAAAATCAACAGCGGCTATTTTACAGTTTCAATAGTATCATTGGAAAACAATGATTTCTTTTTTCTTTCCTTTTCTCTTTTCTCTTTTCTTTTTTCTTTTCTCTTTCCTTTTCTTTTCTTTCTTCTCTCTTCTCTTCTCTTCTCTTCTCTTCTCTTCTCTTCTCTTCTCTTCTCTTCTCTTCTCTTCTCTTCTCTCCTCTCCTCTTCTCTCCTCTTCTCTCTCCTCTCCTCTCCTCTCCTCTTCTCTCTCCTCTCCTCTCCTCTTCTCTCTTCTCTTTTCCTTTCCTTTCCTTTCCTTTCCTTTCCTTTCCTCTCCTCTCCTCTCCTCTCCTCTCCTCTCTTCCCTTCCCTTCCCTTCCCTTCCCTTCCCTTCCCTTCCCTTCCCTTCTGTTCTCTTCTCTTTCTTCTCTTTTCTCCTTCGTTTAAAATTGTCAGAATACACATATGCTCTCCAGAGAGAGACAGCACCCCTGATGGGGCACCGGCATGCTGAATCCTTTCTCTTCCATTTCCAGCTCATCAGGACTTTGGGCATGCATGTGCACGTACACACACACACACACACACACACACACACACACAACCGGCATGCTGAATCCTTTCTCTTCCATTTCCAGCCCATCAGGACTTTGGGCATGCATGTGCACGTGCACACACACACACACACACACACACACACAACATATTTTTCAAGCTGCTGGGCAGAGATTCAAATTGTGGTTGGCCACTGAACAGCAAGAATGAACTAAATGATTTATTTTCAATAAAATGTTTTGTATATTACATTACCTTGCCAATAAAGAAAACATGAGAGATGAATTTAGATAAATGGTTCAAATAGCAACTAAAAAGAGATGTTTAAATCTAGTATCTTAAACCATTTCTATCAATTTTTATCTTTCTCATTAAAATATTAACTCACAAATGGTAATTTTAATATTCATTATTTGTGTCAAAGTTCTAATGAACTAATTTAGTATTAATGCAGCTATTATGTTTACTTAGAGAAAATTTCCGCTTTGTCATTATTTAATGTAGCATAAAAATAAAACGTGGCCATTACTTTTATTAATTCTTCTCCTTCTTCCTATATAAACAGTCATTCACAAATGGGGACAAAAGTTCAGTTTTGCAGAATGCATAAATTCTGGAGACCTAGTATACAGCATGCTGGCTATAGTTAGTACTGCACTGTAGACTTAAAATGTACTGAGGGGGTACCAGCAGATGGCATAATGGTTACATCACTGTATGCCCTTGTGGCCAACCATGGTTCGAGTCCTGGACCTAGAGGCTTAAAGTTTATGCTGGGCGTATGTGCATGAGTGCTCCAAATCCTGAGAGGAAAATGGAAGAGAAGAAAATTGCAGCATGGCCATCCCCCCTGAGGGGTACTTTCTTGCTTTCTCTCTCTCCGTCTCCCTGGTCAGTGCACATGCCCTATAGCAAAAATCTCACTCTTAAAAAAAATAAATAAATAAAACATATGCTCAGGGAATTGATTTTAATTCTTCTTACTTAAAAAAAATCATAACAATGTGAGGTGATAAGTATATTGACTAGCTTGATTGTGGGAATAATTTCAAATTGTGCAAATTCAGTTGCACACGTTGAATATACAGTATCTCTTTGACAAGTATACCTCAATTACCTGGAAAAAAAAATCCTTCAGCAAAGACTTTATGTACTTACAAAATAACTTATAGTTTATTCACTTTAGACTTTTTTCATGTAAAATATTCTGAAGAGTTTAAGAATATACAAGTTAATCATATCCTATATCAGCTTATCCAGTTACCTGAAATTTTCAGCATACATTTGTAGAAATAAGTTATGCTTTTCATGGTTTCTCATGAGTTTGTGATACATTGAACTGCTGCTGTTGTCTGTATTTCCTCAAAGCTATTGCCTCATCTATGGCAAGATATAATATCTCATTTACCATGAGAAAAGAGAAAAAATGCTGTCAAATAAACTATCACATACTTCCTTACTACTAGAAGCTATTTAATACTTAAATATAGCTCATAGCAAAACACTTCAGGCCCAGCCACTATCGTGCCATGGTAACCCAACTGTTCCACAAGGCTGAAAGCCACATGATTGCCACAGGCATGGATCCCCAGGTCAGCCCGAAAGCACATTGGGTGCCGGCACAGGCACCTGAAATCCTTAGGAGCAGGAGGGGCGGAAGAAAGGAGATCGCAATGCGAGGAGACCCTGTCACACTGTAGGTGCTTCTCTCTCTACTCTTTCATGCCCCTGTGTACATGTGCATGTGTGGGTATGGCTGCTCTATCATAAAGAAATATTTTAAACTTAGACAAATTTCTATCAATATTATTGCACTTGATTTATGAATCAGTCACATGATTTCTGAATTAGTCACACCAGTTCCCTATTGCTTTGAAGTTTATTTCATCTACAGTACTGCCTCCTCACCAACCCACTACACCTTTTCCTTGGGTTTGATTTCTGAGGTGTCAGTTACCTAAGATCAGCTGTGGTACAAAAGCATTTAATGGAATATTCCAGAAATTAGCAATGCATAAATTTTAAACTGTATGCTGTTTTGAGTATCTCATCATCTCCCTCTGCCCCACTGGGATATGAATCATCCCTCTGTCCAACACACCAACACTCTGTATGCCTCCCACCCATCAGTCACTTAGAATTCTTCTCGCTTACCACTGATGGTTGCAGTATCACAAGACTTAAGTTCACTAACCTTATTTTACTCAATAATGGCCCCCACGAACAAGAGCAGTGATGCTGGCAGTTAGGCTATGCCAAAGATGAAGTGATTCATTTAAGTGAAAATTTTCAGATGAAGTTGACAAAATCTACAGTCCAATAATAAATTTTAAGAGAACTCATTTAAATAACTTCTATTACAATATATTGTTATAATTATTTTATTTTATTATTAGTTATTGTTAATCTCATATTATGCCTGATTTGTGAATTAAACTCTATCACAGATAGGTGTGATATCTATCTATCTATCTATCTATCTATCCAGTTATATTCAGGTCTGGTACTATCCACAGCTCCTGGCATCCACAGGACATTGCGCATAAGGTGTTGGGGGGATGCTGTAGTCTATTCCGCTTTTAAATTGTATTACTTAGTACATGAGAGAGAAAGTTTAGCACATATCTCAGCAGCAAAAAAGAAACAGTTTCATCTCCTTGCGGATATTTCCCTTAGCACTATCAAGTTGTGCTTTACCCTTTAACATGCAAATAAATAATGTGGACATTTTAATAAAATGTAACTTCAGGTACCAGCAGATGGCATAATGTTAGGTCGCTGGACTCCCATATAGTCAACCGTGGTTTGAGTCCCAGACGTGGAGGCTTAAAACTCACAATGGGCACATGTGTGTGCATGCCCAAAATCCTGAGAGGAGATTGGAGGAGAAGGGACTGTGGTGTGGCCAATTCCCCTGGGAGACAATTTCTTCCTTTCTGTTTCTCTGGCAAGTGCACAAGTCCTATAGGAAAAATGAAAACAGAAACAAAATCCTCTCTCTAAAATAAGTAAATTCAGCTTTGGGATGAGCCCAAAATTCTGCATTTCTGCATTTCTAGTAAGAACCTTGATAGTGATGTCCAAACTCCTGGTCCCTGGTGACATAAGATGTAGAGTCATATGAATCAGTCAGCTGTTAATTTAATTAGCAAGAAAATAACGAATTACAGTCATTGCTCCAACAATAAATATCTGCTTAGTCATATAAAATTTAATTCTTTGTGCTGCTGTTTCCTTTTCCTTCTTTTTCGATGATAACTTTTTGTTTTAATACTGAATCACAATGTATCTTCTTGAAGAAATGGTAAATGACAAATTCGAAGTCTTTAAGAGTGCACATGACATATTCAAAGCAATGACTGTATGAACAGCTATGACCATGTTCAGACAAGCTTAAGAAATAGTGCCTGTTCGTACAGCTGCCAGCTAGTATACAGTGATTGGAACTAATGACTGGCTGGAAACTCATCCTGATTTAAGACATAGAAAATGAAAAAATGTACATCTTAGAAGAGGTGAATATAGGCCAGCAGGCGGTTAAGTTGCTGGATTCCCACATGGTTGATGGCAGTTTAAATCCCAGACCTGGTAGCTTGAAACTCACTCTGGAAGTGTGTGCATATGCGCCCAAAGCGCTGAGAGGAGAAGAAGGAGATCATGACATGGCCATCTCCCCTGGGAGTGATTTCTCACTTCCCCTCTATCTTTCTCTTTCTCCCTCCATTGAGCACATGGGCTATATGGAAAAAAAAAAAATTAAAAAAAAAGAAAGGAGGTGAATATAATACATGTTTTGTTTAGCCAAGAAAAAAATACTTAAAGTATTGTTTAGTTTTATTATTATTATTTTTATTTAATTTTATTTATTCATTTATTTTAATTTGACCAAAGAGAGACAGAGAGAGAAAGAGAGGGAAAGTGAGAAGTAAGACATCAGGTCTGGGACTCAAACCATGGCATGCCCAGTGCTTTAACCACCACATCACCTACAGGTCTCCATGTATTGTTTAGCTTTAAAAAAATGTCTTTAGATGGGATCAACAGTTGGCATAATGGCTATGTCACTGGACTCCCATGTAGTCGACCATAGTTTGAGTCCCAGATCCGGTGGCTTATACTCACACCGGGTGCATGTGCATGTGTGCCCAAGATATTGTATGCTGTGACAATTCTCAGTGAATGAATGTAAATTAATTTAAAAAATAACGATAATAATAAAGAAAATCTTAAAGTTAAAAAAAAAAAAACTCTTGGGACCAGCAGTTAGTGTAATGGCTATGTCGCTGGACTCCCATGTAGTCAACTGCGGCTCGTGTCCCAGACACGGTGGCTTAAAACTCACACCGGGCGCGTGTGCATGTGTGCCCAAGATCCCAAGAGGAGAAGGTAGGAGAAGGGATTGCGGCGGCATAACCGTCCCCCCTGGGGGGTGATTTCTCGCTTTCTGTTTCTCTGTCTCTTTCTGTCTGGTGAGCACACATGCCCTATAGCAAAAACCTCTAAAAAAAAAAAAAAAAAAAACGGGATTGGTTCAAATATTCATTTCACAGAATACAAGTCTCAAGTCACATAGTTATTTCAATATTTTGTCATTAAACAAGTACATAACTGGGGCCAACAGGTGACATTGTGGTGAAGGTGCTTGACTCCCACACAGCCAACTGTAGCTTGAGTCCTGGACCTGGTGGCTTGTTTTCTCACTTTCCCTCTCTCTCTGTCTATCTATGGTCAAATTTTAAAAAATAATAATTAATCAAATGAAATAAACAGTTACAAAACTTCATAGTAATAAAATAATAAATTTAAGCAACTTATCAGTTAATAATCATAACTAGTGATTTCTGCAACATAATACTTTCCATGTTTTTTTTTTTTTTGAGAGATTTTTGCTATAGGGCGCGTGCGCTCGCCAGACAGACAGAGAGAGACATAAAAAAAAAGAAAGCGAGAAATCACCCCCCAGGGGGGATGGTCACGCCGCAATCCCTTCTCCTCCATTCTCCTCTCGGGATCTTGGGCACGCACGCACACGCACCTGGCGTGAGTTTTAAGCCACCGGGTCCAGGACGCGAACCACGATTGACTACGTGGGAGTCCAGCGACATAGCCATTACACTAACTGCTGGTTCCCAGGGCGTCTATTCTTTAAAACCGCGATTATTCAGTCTCCGTAGAGACTGTCAAAAATTGCCAATGCCGACTATATTGCAAGTCGTCACAGCGGGGTATTGGGAAAAGTTTTCAATTAGCAATAATCGTGCCTCAGATAAACCTCATTGGCTACGATACTGCCACTGCGCAAAGCTGGCAATAAACTTTCCATGTTATATAAAAATTTTAAAATAATACTGGGAAGAAAATACTTGGGAAAATTAAACAAAATGGGACCAGCAGTTAGCGAAATGGCAATGTTGCTGAACTCCCATGTAGTCAACAGCAGTTCGAGTCCCGGACCCAGTGGATTAAACTTACGCTGGGTGCATGTGCATGTGTGCCCAAGATCCCAAGAGGAGAATGGAGGAGAAGGAATTACAACGTGGCCATCCCTCCCGGGGGGGGTGATTTCTCGCTTTCTATTTCTCTGTCCCTCTCTGTCTTTCTTGTGAGCACACGTGCCCTATAACGAAAACCTCTCCTCCCCCCCCCGAAAAATTAGAACAAAATTAAGTTAATTAAAATATGTCTTAATGTAACATTAAAATATATACTTCTATATCAGATAAAGATATAGCCATTTCTCCTAAGATCCATTTGTTTAAACTAATCAGAGGACGTCAGTTTTCATTGAAAATATGTTTATATAGACAAAGTACTCTTTTAGCAACATGTCAAATGGAGACATTGTTTTCTTTTATGTAAACACCTACATGAGATTGGCAAACATTGACACTATTGTGGAAGCACAATTAATATGTAATTAACATTATGAGTAACAGTGGCAGACTTCAATAGCAACTTTCATCCACTGGAAAGGTATATTTGATATTTTCTTGTCACATGAAGTACCTGAAATCTAGTATTCCAGAAATCATAAGTTCTATAACGGCAGCTTTTTATTGTGACATGCTGAATTTGTAATACTCGCAACAAAGTGAAAGTTCACTTCCTTTTAATTGTATACTAATACAACTGTGACTTTAAATCTTGGTGCATTTTGGAATTATTTAATGAGTTCGGAAAAATACTGGTGTGTGGATTCCAGTCACAGAGTCCTGATTAGTGTCTGGGCTGTGGAAATTGGTAATGGAATTTAAAACAATAAAATCTTCCCTGTACATTCACAT